GAGAGGGAGAAGGGACTTACATGTGAAACAAGCTTGTTCCCTAACTAGAACTAATAAATAAAATATAAAAAAAAAGAACGTTTATTCTGAAGCCAATTTGTGATCATGGTCTGGGAACACAAATTCAGGTTACTTCAAATTCCATGTTCCAATGTAGTAACCGTTTCACCTAACCGCTATTATTGTACAGAACAAAGAAAGCCATACATTAAGGGTCTTTTCAAACCCATTGGTGGAAACATTAGGTAGGTGTATTAAAGCAGATGAGGAAATCTCTGCTGTAGACCTCAGATGTTTTGCCAGAACTCCTGGCCTTTTGGTTGGTGGAAGATGGTGATCTACTAAGTAAATACATTCCAAAAGGTTTTATGTGCCAGTCACAAGGATGAAAGAGGTGAGCAAGAAATGGCTATTTAGAGAGCTGAAGATAGCCCAAGATAAAGTGCATTCGGGTTCTGGACCTACAGCATTCCAACCTCTATGATCACTCCATCAGCCTTGCTCAAGGCACAGTGGGAAATGCAGCTTCCCTCTAGGAACTGTTGTTTACAGTCTTATTCCCTGGTTTGCCATTCGAAATCTGCCCAAGCTCTAGAATAAACAATCCAATCTGAACCAGTCTACACATCCCACTCACAGCAAGAAAAATCACGCTCTGTGCCAAGAGTCAAGTCCCCTGAGCGACCCCATCACTCAGCATCCATCAAGTAGCTTGTCACCTACTGACCCCAACAGTGCTGCTGTTCTCCTTCGTGGTGGGTTAATTTCTCTTGTGTCTGGTCCTTGGCTCTCTCTATCTGATACAGTTTCAGCATTGCCCGCGCCATCACAACTTCTCAGTGAGTATGTACTGGTGGGCACCACCCCATTCCTTGCCCATTCTGGTCCTCTGTGTTAGGGAGGGATGTGATGCTAGGACTTTATCCAACCCTCCTAAGGGTTTGTCAAAGTACCCAGAAGGCAAAGTGCCAGCCAACCCGAAGGAAATCTTTGAAAACTCATAGCAGCTGCTGAGACTCTGCAATAAGGCTAGACCATCACAGACAATCACCAAGGATGTCACTGCCACCACAGCCACTTGGCTCTTCTCTTGAGCTGCTCTTAGATGGATACATCTGACATAAAGGAAAGGGTTCTCTTATCTAGGTGTTCAGTAGAGGAAGTCCTCTTAGAGAGGGGCACAGAGAGGCAGAGCAGGAAAAGAACCCATGGGAGGACATGAAGAAGGGAGTGAGCCCAGGATTCCTTCCTGTTCTGTGTGTCCCTTGTATAAGTCCTCACTCCTTACTTAGCCTTTTGGTGACTCGGGAAAGACTCAAGAAAGATCCCGTGTTGCCAAGGGGAAATGTATATTGATGTTTGTTTTCAAACCCACTGCAATAAGGCACAAGGAGTAGGCACTCTGTCTGTAAAGCCACCTCACGGTGGTTGCTAACCTACTTGGCTCCTTAAGTTTGCTGACTTCTATGGGCCAAATTCTCCCTGTTCAATTTTGTCTGAATTGGAGCTGGAGAGATGGTTCATCAGTTAAGATCTTCCAAAGGACCCAGATTCAGTTTCCCCATTCAGTACCCACGTGATGGCTCACAACCGACTGTGACTCCAGTTCCAGCGGATCTGACAACTGTACTGGCCTCATTAGGCACCAGGCATGAAAGTGGTATACCAACATACATGCAGGCAAAACACCTATACACATCAGATGTTTTTTAAATTAACAACTTTGAATCCCAGCCAAGCAAAAGAATGGCTGTTCCCAATTGCCAAGAGCCTACTCCAAACCAAACTCCTTGACGAAACCACCCTCCCCGACACACACACCTGTCAGCTCCCCATCCGGCTCCATCTGAGCGGATATAGCAAAAAGCGACAATACACCCTTTACAAATAAACAATTCTGTCATGAGGACATGCAGAGTGAGTTGCTTTGTACCCGTCAGGATGGATGGTACTTCATGTGCTTTGCTTCTCTGGGCTATTGAAGAGATGTGCTATGGTTATTCAAAGACAACATCGGTTTTACAAATATTAGCCCATGAGACAGGTGATTTCCTGTGGACAAGAGAAGTAACAGGTGAACGAACAGCACGTTGTCTTAGAGGAGAGGAAGAATGTTCTATGGGATGGAAGATGGTGAAGAGACAAGACATCGGCAGCACAGAAAATGTCCTGTGTTCTTGTAGTAAACACTGGATTCAGAGATGAAAGAAAGGTGGAAAACCTAGAGCTGTTAGGGAGTAGACTGGAGTGCTACGGGGTGGGGCTCACACGTCAACCCTGAGCAGCTGGACTGGAAGGATCCTGCAACTCCAGTGTTCAAAGACATTGAGGGACACCCAGAGTCTTCACATGACCATAAAATGTAAGGAGTGCTCTCTCAGGAAGCTGGGAGCTGGCTAGAGCTGAGTTGTGCAGGATGGCCAGAAAGACCCTAGTGAGGCTCTTCCAAGGCCTCAACTCCCAAAATCAAGATCAGAGCATATCCTGCCCACCTGGATGCTGTTTTCAGAGAACCTTCATGCAATGGGTAAGAGAATGAGTAAGCATCTTGGAGAATCTCATCCAACCCTCGAGTGTGTGTGAACCTGAGATCCCTAACCCTGATGAAAAGACATTTCTTCCGCTCCTGCCCTGGCTGAGGCTGTTGCTGCCACTGGATTATCCCCTTGCTGTGGATCAAGTGAAAACCAGCACACTAAGGCTTCCCATTAACCATGGGTCATCTTGAAGACCAGCTCTTAGGAATTACATGGAAATCTCTTGATGGCAAGCACTGAAGTGTCCTCTTGACAGCAGCAGCAAAGGCAGGAGCTAGTCTTGTCACACTGGGGAATGTGACCTGAGGGTAGTGATGATGGCTACAGTGACTGGATCCCCCAGGCCAGATCAAAGCCACCAAGTGCCATACTGCAGGCTGGCAACACCCGAAGTGGTTAACATTTACATGGTAGGCATTGTCATCACCCATGTATCTGTGTATTATATGGTGTACGGTAGTCATGTTCACTATGGCAGGTCTCTATCAGGTGACAGGAGATTATCTTGGGAAAAGGTTGTGTTTTTCACAGCTAGCACGACCATTCTGTGGGCTAACAGCGGTCCTATGGGGCTTTGGACTCAAACCACAGACAAGACACAGTGCCAAGACCATCATCCCCTTATGGTGTTCAGCCCTTCCTCCATGGCCCCCAGACTGAACTTTACAGAAGGAGAAAGGCTAACTAAGGATTTCTAAAATATACATTGTGCAATAGCTATGAGCAAATGAGTGTCACTTATCTGAGCATTTATGGCTTGGGCTCCAGACTCAGCTGGACAAAAGAAAAGAAAAAGAAAAAGAAAATTTGCATACAATCCAACAAGCCATTATCAGTCCCAGCAGAGAGAGGCACTGGATCTGTTGGTACAATGTTCTTCCCCAAGGTATAAGTAATATGACCAGGCTCTCTGTAAGAGCTGACTCTTAAATTCAGCTTTGAAAAGACCAAAAGCAGGAGAGACAGAGGTGACAGATCCCGACAGCTACCCAAAGTAGTTGTAGGCCAGTGCAGGCTCTCCTAGAAGACTCTACGATTCCAACTGGCCCTTGAACCAAAGGGCAACCGCTGGTGACAGATGCCAAGCTGCCAGACCCAATTTCTGAGCCTGGGGCCCAGGGGGAGTATAAAGGCAGAACAGTTCAAAAAGACCACATTAATGACCTCCCAGGAGATGCACATCCCAGCCAATGAGGGAGCCCTGGCTGTGGGCAAACACATTCTGATTGGCTAAGGGCAGAGTACAGTTGTCTGGGTAAACAATCTGAAACAAGAACGCTGGGCTTGAACAGGGGGTCATGCCTCAGGGAGGTCAGATGTATTTGGAGCCTCAGTCCTGAACGAAGAACCAAGTACTCAATTTCTTAACCTGTTCCCAGTACACTGGTTAGCAAGGACGCTAACGCATCTGGGAGCCTTAAACCAATGTCGGCAGAGACAAGCAAAGCTGCTTCTAAGCTCACCTTTGTCTTCCCGGAACAAAGCACCCAGTCTTTCCCTCCTCAACTCAACCTCAGTATCGGGTTCTCTCCAGGGAAAGTCAGTCTGCACCTTCCACTAATGCCACATAAGTCAGATTGTTCCTTGGTACTCTGAGAGCTGGGGACCATCTGTCAAACCCTTGCTGTATGCCGACCATGTTTGCAAAGTCAAACAAACAAAATATGCTCTGTGGGACCTGTTGCTCTCAGCCCTGCCTTGAAGGAAGGGAGAGGGAGAGCCACCAGCCGACAACGGAACTCTAAGTTGAGAAATACAAAGGGAAAAATTAGAAAAATCTCTCTTGCACAGTACCTTGAATGGATTTCTTTTGAAATGTGTCTGGGTGGTGGAGAATCACTAGAGAAAAGTCTGGCCTCTGTCACTTGCCTATTTGGATGTCTCAATGTGCTGGGCATCTCAGATTCTTTCTAACCTCTGTGGGGTTGTGCTCAACTACCCAAAAAGAAACCAGTTATAACTGGGAGGAGGGGAAGAAAACAAAAATAGTTGGGAGTCTTAAGTCTAAGGTGCTGTATTTGGTGAGGCTGTGCTCCGCACCCCGACTCAGAAATCATGTCACTCCTGGGGGAGACACAAGACAAGAGGAGAATGCCAGATGTCACATCATTGTCATCAACAACGTCATCACTCATACAGTTGAGCACTACTGGGGTGAACACTCATGCAAGTGACCTTTCTCTTCGTCCTCCCAAGGATACTGGCAGGTCCTATTCCTAACCCTGTTTCACATGTGTGGGTACTGAGGGTTGGAGAACGAAAGGTGAGAATTTCAAAGAGTAAGTGGCTGACTCATACCCATCCATTAACACAATGCCCAATTGTTTTCTTCTTTGTTTCTGTGATAACTGAAAGCCACATGGGGAGGAAAGGGTTTATTTTAGCTTACAGGTTATAGTCCAGCATCGAGAAAAGTCAGGGCAGAAACCTGGCGGCAGGAGATCCTGGGGGAGCACCGCTTACCGGCTCACTTTTTCGATGCACTCATCTTGCTTTCTTCTACAAACCAGGACCATCCATCTGCCTAGGGGATGGCACCACTATTCATGGGGGCTGGGCCCTCCCATATCAACTATTAACCAAGGAAATGCCCCATAAACAAGACCACAGGCCAATATCATGGAGTCGATTCCTCAGCCGAGGTTCCCTTCTCTAGGTGGCTCTAGTTTGTGACGTTGAGAAAAACTGACCAGCACACTCAACCACAAGTGAGAGGATCTCAAGGGTTCAGCCCGTCAAGGACAAACATCAGACGTGTCACGCCAGGGGAAAGAGGACTTCTGCACAAAGTACACTCCTCTTGGAGCTGGAGCTCAGTGCCTTGTCAGCAGCCCTGGCCGTGTGCCAGGTGACTACCCAGAGGGCCTAGCACCACTGAGTCACTGGAAATGCAGGGAGAAAAAGGCTTTTGGAATGTGTTTGTTTACAATTTGGATGTTGTCTGCTTAAGAGTTTAGGCTACTACATTTAGTATCCGCCCAGGATATTCTCCTGAGGCTGACATGCTCCTGGTTCAGCAGTTAAGAAGTTTTGTGAAAATAACAGATTCATTAGATGAGTAACCAACCGCTAACGAAGCTTTCCCGTGCTAAGCTAGTGTGTGAGTGTCTATTGGTGGTGGTGTTTCTAACATTGGAGAGGTGTGTTCGTTTACTTATGGGCAGATTTGGGTGAATCTCACTTCTACCAGTGAAGAATTCTGGGTTATTCTTGGGGAGATCATTACAATCCCTAGCTACCGCCTAAAGCATATGTCCCCCACACACTGTTTCTGAGACCTATTAACTACTGTACTTTGACACAACACAAGCACAATAAAGAATCTAAGAATTAAAAGATAGAGTAAAGAATCTCATGGGGTTTAACTCCTGAAGAAGGAAGAGTACAAGAGCCTGCAGGTAGAGGGATGCGAGCAATCCTTTTTCAGGTAGAATGATGTGGGCAATTCTTTTGTAGCTGGAGTAATGGGAGCAACTCTTTCACAGAGTGATGTGAGTAACTTTTTTTTTCTTTTAGGCAATATAAGATTGACACAGCAGGAGCATCCACACCAGATGACAGACACCAGCACTTTCATCCTGGAATTCTCAGCTTCCAGGACTTTAATAACTTCCATTGTCTGGTATCATGTATTTTGGTATTACTACACAGAGGAGTGGAGATACTGACTGTAAGGAGTCAGGCATTATGCTGGCCCGCCTCTGTCACTAGGCAGAATGCACTCAGGCAGTACCCTGGTCAGCTCAGGGTTCCATGGTTTCTAGTCCGCAGGCAAGTGCAAAGGACCCCTTTAAAAGACAGACCCCTGCCCACTTAAGCTTTCTTCCCTGCTCTCTTTCCTGCTGTTCCCGTGGGGCAGACAGGACTTTGCCTGTCTCCCTCATCTCTTCTGTTCTCCCTCTGTGTCTCTTTACCTCTTTTCTCTTTCCTTCCTCCCCTTTCCCTTTCTAATAAAACTTCTCACTGAGCTCTGTCTGCCTGGCAGGTTTGTCTCCCACCTTGGTCACCCTCACCTGCCATGGAATCTGCCAAGGTTCACCTTGTGCTTTATTTCTAACACTGACCATACCCAATCATTTTTAAAGAAAGTACAAAACCATGGAAAACATTAGAATTAGACAAAATTCTAGCCAAAATAAGTTTTCAATGAAAAAAGACCATGAACACCCCATACTGAAAAGCAAGAGAGACCCATTTCCCACACAACCCCTGAAGAGAGAAAGAGACCATGAGCCTAAGTCCCTTACTTAATTCCAGGAACTACACACCATCCAGAGCACATCCAGACCAGACTGTACCCACCTTCTGCATGTCCCCAGAGGAGCTGTTGCAGTGACTGCTGGGAGGAGATGCCCTTTTACACCGCTGCTCTTCACCGCTCAGGGCCCAGGAGTTGGCAAAGTCATAGGGGTCTGAGGTCAAGGCCCCTACAGAGAAAAGTTTCCACAAAATGATGCTTCAGTTAAGCCTGTTCCAGGACTTCTGCATGAAAGCTATCAGCCAGTCGAATCAACCTCTGCTAGATTGGACCACAGGCATTTGGACCATAGGCACTCCATACAGTACTCAGCATGGCACCACAGTGCATGGGTAGTGAAGACCAGCAAGTGCTTAGTGGTTGACGATCCACGATCAGAGGGACAGATACAACGAAGGAGATGACATGAAAGAAGATGAGGATGTCATCGGAGAAGCTTCTGTGTGCAGCAGATAGAGATCACTAGAAATCCACAACAGGTCTAAATGTAGAGGACAGCTGACCATGGCGTGCTCAATCCCAACTGATACCTCTACAACACAACCCCTACCCCTAAGGCTCAAAGAACCTCCCAAAAGAGGAGCAGAAAGATTATTAAGGGCCAAAGCCTCAGGAAGTCTGTTATGAGAAGGTGTCTTCTATACATGACAGAGAAGTTGGTTGCCTGAACAAGACCAGCACAGTGACAACACCAGTGACATTCCAACATAGATGGGGGAAATCTGACAAGGCCCCACCCCTAGAAGAAGAGCTAGAGGCAATTAATGATGGATAAGAGAGGGATAATCAATCTAGGAATGAGCCCCCCCAATAGGCTAGTCAGACCTAAACAGATACACATGAGAACAACACTAAATGGACCTAGAGGAGGAATGCTCCTGTGTGTGTGTGTAACAATAAAGAAGTCATAGGAAGAAGGGAGTGGGGGACACACAAAGGGAGCTGGAGGGAGGAGGGGGTAGAAATGGTGCGAATCATTAAGATACTTTAGAAGAAAGACGAAGCAGATGACACCATCCAGTCTCACTTCTCTGTGTCCTGGAATGCCCTTCCTCCTCTGTATGGACCAGTCTCCTCTTCCTTTGTCATGGTTCCAGTAAAAAGTGCCCACCCACCCCCAGCTCATGTGTTCAAGGCTTGGCCTTAAACTGTTGGTGCTGTTTGGGGGAGTTCTGTGGAATAATCCTTCCATACACTGTGAATGTGAATTATTCTCATTGGTTAATACAATAGCTGGTTGACCCATAGCTGGGCAGGAAGAGATTGGGTGAGACAGCCTGACACAGAGAGAATTCTGGGAAGAAGAGTGGAGTAAGAGGAGTCTCTGCCAGATGCAGAGGGAGCAAGAGATGAATGTGCCGTGTTAATAAAGGTACCACACATGGCAGCGCATAAATAAAGACTATGGGTTAACAACAGTAACAATCAATGACATCCTAAACTTTGCAGGCAAATGGACAGAACTAGAAAAAACCATCCTGAGTGAGGCAACCCAGACCCAGAAAGACAAATATAGTATGTACTCACTAGTGAATAAATACCAGACATAAAGCCTATAATTCACAACCCAGAGAAGCTAGAATCCTCTTTCAGAAACAGATGGAAGCAGATTCAGAAATCCACAACTAACCATTGGGCCGAGTTCCTGGAGTACAATGGAAGTGAGGGAGAAGTGACAATCTGAACAAAGGAGTCAAGACCATGATGGGGAAACCCACAGAATCCGCTGACCCGAGCTAGTGAGAGATCACTGACTCAGGTCTGACAAATGGGGAACCTGCATAAGACTGAACCAGACTCTCTTAATATAGGTGACAATGGTGTGACTTGGACAATATATGAGGCCCTTGGCAGTGGATCCAAGATCTAACTCTAATGCACAAACTGACTTAGTGGAGCCCATTCTATATGGAGAGATCCCTTGTTCAAAGAGGTGTGGGAGCAGGGAGATGCCTTGGTCCTGCCTCAAGATGATGGGACAAACTTAGTAGACTCTCCGAGGAGCAGATGAGAGATGGGGTGGTAGGGAAAGAGGGGGGAGCAGGAGGAGATGAGGGAAGGGAAACTGGGATTGGAATGTAAAAAATAAATTAATTTTTAAAAGTTTTTTAAAAGTCTTTTTCAGCCCTGATTTTGTGTAGTGTGGAACCTTATAGATAAATATAAAGTAAAGCAGAAGGGTATCCAATACATGGAATTACAAATATTATTATTTAAAGGGAAAGGATCTCAGAGATCAAGAAACAAAGCAAGCTGATAGGACTCTTGGAAATCAGTAACAAGGCTAACTTTGTTTGGGGACAAAAAGTATTGGGTCTGAACTGAGAAGTGAACTAAATAAATCTCTTTCTGGGGATAGTTGCAAAAATATCACAGAAAGTGGACTTTTGTCAACAAATATCACTTTCTCTCCAATAGCATAAATTTTATATATAAATATATGTATATTTATTTATATAAGCATATATAGGGTGTGTGTGTGTGTGTGTGTGTGTGTGTGTGTGTGTGTGTGTGTGTGTGTCATAAATAAGAAAGAAAGCTATCTGAGGACTGGGACCTCCTTTTCCAATGAAGTAGATTAGAAGAGTCTAAGCTACCCTACTACAATGGACAAACATTCTATTGACGCCACGAATAACTTCATAAAAAGCAGATGAAATCCCAAGATGGAGAAAGACAAATGAGGGAAGGAAAAAGGAAGAACAGCCAGGACAAACTGGGAACCAGAACAGACAAGTCCGAGTGCTAGACTGAGGGCAGCCATCTTCCCAAAGCAGAGTTTTGAACTTGTGTGATATGGGAGGTGGACTAGACCCTGTCATGAAGGTGTAACCCTCCAAGGATGCCCTCTGTGAGAAAGCTGTCAAGAAAAGCAATCTACTCTGAAAAATAGAAAAACAGAAGTTTGTTTTCTTGACCCTGGCCCCAGGATGGGAGGGAAGAAAGGTCTCCCCTAGAGACATGAAGTCAGGGAAAAGCATCTCCTAGGCTTGAAATTCAGACTCGTGCTTCTACAGGAGTCAGTCATTCCCTGGGCAGTGGTGGGACACGCCTTTGATCCCAGCACTCAGGAAGCAGAAGGAGTCAAATCTCTGGGTTTGAGATTTGGTCTACAGAGGGAGTTCCAGGACAGCCAGGGCCACACTGAGAAACCCTGTCTCAAAAAATTAAAAATGGAGAGAAAGGAGAGAGAGGGAAAGAGAGGAGAGCCGTAATTCATTGCAGATTGAAATTTTAACATAAAATCCTTCTAAGGATGAGCTCAAAATCCAAGATTATGAAGCATAGAATCCATGGATTATGAACAGAAGTCAACAGACATCAAATTACCATGTTGAAAGTTCTAGATACTTCAAACAATAGCTTACCTTCCTGAGTCCTAAAGTCATCTTCAGCAAAGATGTTAAAATCACCACACAGCCCACAGGTCTTGTTGAAGTGTCTGTCTGACATTAGGACTTGGAAGTTGCCATCACCATCAATTCTGGCCACAAAACCGTAGGCCTCACTGGAAAGCTTGTAGTATCCAGCCTCAGTTTCTAGGTGGAGTCCTTTGGAGGCAT